AAAATATAAATCAAGTGACTTTGAGGCACGGCGGAGGAGATGCTCAACCTGTCTTCCTCTGCTCTGCCCACCTTGACGCTTTGCCTTCCAACTTCCCAGGAAGTGAGAATCAAGCCAACATTCACTCACAGTTGAGTGGCAGGATTGCAGGTTATAAGATTACGGCTATCTTGGCTTACTCCTGACAACCCAGCCATGTTGCCAAATGCCTATACAGGCTAGGAGTTGGGAGACTTGAACTCACCAGACAGGGAAAGCTAGATTTAGAAGAGGCCGATGGGGGAGGGAGCTGGATCTCGTTCCTTTAGCGGATCTCCAGTTTTCCTTCCAAGGAGGTTGATACAGGGCTCGTAAGATGGAGATGGAGAAAAGCATTTCAACTCATTTCTAAGCCAGGGTTTCTCTACCTTGGCAACGTGAAGATGGATGGCCTTCAACTCCCAGAATTCTCAAGCCAGTGATGTTGGCTGGGGAAATCTGGGAGTTGAAGTCCACCCATCTTCAAGTTCCTAAGGTTGAAAAACATTGTCCTAGGCAGAAGTGCCTGGGGCCAAATCAGAAACCAGTGTGGAAAAGAGGGTTGGAAGTATGTCCTAGAGAAAAACTTGGAAGTTCTTAGTTACACTTGTCCCTCCAGGATAATTTGTTGGAAGAATTTCACGCACAGGCCGTTCTGTTTTTCCTATCTTTGACCTGCAGCTCAATTTTTGAGAGACGTGGAGGCTGGGCTACCTGCTGAAAAGGCAGGGATGAGAGAAGGCGATTGTCTGCTGGCGGTGAACGGCGAGATTGTCGAAGATCTTGACCATCAGGAAGTGGTGTCCAGGATCCGTTCCGACAACCAGCGGGTGACTCTCTTGGTAATCGACTCAGAAGGAAGCAAGTTCTACAATATGGTACCTAAGTCTTCTCTTCTACCAACTCCTGACGGAAAGATAGAAGAGGGAGGATAACAATATGCAGAAACTAATTTGGGATTCTGCATCCAGATAGTCCGTAAGCCATCATCTTATAACCAGGACTGGGACCAGAATTTTCTGAACTAACCAAACTAATTATTACTGTCATGCCCTTGGTAGAGTCTGACTTTGAGGGAGAGGAGGAACGGCCGACAGGGAGTGGAGGTGTAGCTCCAGAGGTTGTGGAGGAGGCTGGGGAAGGGCAGAGGCCATCTGGGCAGTCAGAGGAAGAACCCAGGCCCATCCCCTCTTCATCCTAGGACATGCAGGAAGGAATGGAGAACAACTTGGCTTGTGAGAGAGGAAGCGGCCATGATCCTCCTCATTGGTTGCAGCTGGGGAGACTAGTACATAAGATAGACAATTACAACACAGTGTTGCCAGAAGTAAAATGTGTTTTATTTTGGTCTGAAATTATCTTGGTTGGCATCCTTCCAACAGACTGTGCCTTTCCATTGTGGAAATTCCTTCATTGTAGTTTGTTTTAGTTTTTTATTTCACCTCTATCTGCTCATTAAGTTCAGACTGTATTGCTTTCTTTCGAAGACTATTTTTGAATAAGTTTTATCTCCAACTGAGAATTATTGAGCAGTGGGGCCAAGTTGGAGGCATTAAAGGACATTTATTTACGTTTTGGATTTTGTTATGTTTGTGTTACACTCCAGGTCATCACAATTACTGTGAGTTGGGCCTGATTTTAAGACCGTTTTTTTCAGGGTTGTTAAGAAAATCAAGGCAGTCCTTAAGTGAATTGTGCGATCATTAAGTGAATTTGGCCTCCCCCATTGACTTGGCTTGTCAACAGCTTCCTAGGAAAATTACCAATGGCAATCATATGACCCCATCCATGTAAATCCATGCTGGTTATCCCAATGGTGCTTTTTTCAGGAGGCAAGTGGACTATCTTGTTTTTTATTTGAAGACGTTTCCCTTCTCATCCAAGAAGCTTCTTCGGTTCTTCTTTGGAGCTGAAGAAGCTTCTTGGATGAGAAGGCGAAACATCTTCAAAGAAAAACCAAGGAAATCCAGTTGCCTCCTGGAAAAGCACCTTTGGGATAGCCATGACCTGGAGGACTGACAATCTTTATAGACTACATTCTGGTTTTGCCAGGTACCCAAATTTTGATCATATGGTTGTGGAGATGCTGCACCAAATGTGAGAAAGTAGCTTTTTTCAACGTTGGACAGATGCTACCCAAATGATTGTAATTCCAGGACTGCTTGAGGTGGCATTTCTTCCACATTCAGGAGAGGAGAGCAACGAAATCCTATCATTCTCCATTTCATTACAATCCAGTAGAATTCTCCAGGCAGACATGTCTACTGGTATCAAAATGATGCACGTGGACAGTGTGTTTATGAAAGCGCGGGGTACTTAAGATGGGCTGAATTTGGTTTTGCCCCATGATACAAAATAGAAATTTGAAGTCTAGTTTAGGAATTGATTTCTTGACAACATGCCAATTTTTGATTTGGGTCTGCAATTCCAGGTTGGAGTATCTCCTTTAGTTTTCTACGATGATGAAGACGTCCCATCAAGCTTTCTGATCACCCGTGGTTCTTCATCTCCAGGCATCGTTCAGGAACAAAGCTGGCCCGCTTTGATACCATGTCACTGTCAGCTCTCTAGCAATACAGCATCACCTGGCCAACCTGACCCTACCCCATGGACCTTCACCGGAGAGGTAAGAAGTCCTAAAACAGAATAACAGAATTGGGAGGGACATTGGAGTCTTCTAATCCAACCCCTGTCCAAGTACAAAACCCTACCTCAGATGAATGGTTGTCCAATCTCTTTTTAAGAACTTCCAGTGTTGGAGCACCCACAACTTCTGAAGGCAATGTTCCACTGATTGTCAGGAAATTCCTTCTTAGTTCTAGGTCAGTTCTCTCCTTGATTATTTTCCATCTATTGCTTCTTGTCTTGCCTTCTGGTGCTTTGGAGAATAGCTTGACTCCATCTTCTTTGTGGCAGCCCCTGAGATATTGGAGCATTGCTATCATGTCACCCCGGGTCCTTCTTTCTATTAAACTAGACATGCCCAATTCTAGCAACCGTTCTTCATATGTCTCAGTGTTCTGTGAAGCCAATGACTTGACTTTCTCTAGCCCAACATCACCTCTTGCATTTTGGGGACAGACCACCGAAGTGGGATTTGTTCAGTGTTGCATTTCTTTTTCTGGGTTTATCTATGGAAACGTAACCTAGCTTCTCCTTGTTTCATCCAGGGCCAGGATGGGTTCAGCCAAGCATTCTAGAGATGGCTCCTTGGACTCTATGGAAAAAAGTGAGCACCTTTGCACATCCTTCCAGAATGGAAAATTGATCTCATCCCCAACCAGCTTTTCCAATCCCTCTTCTGCCTTCCACATCAGTCTGTCTCTGCGCTCACATGATTCCTGCAGAACCTGGCAAACAGGCTGAAGATTCAAAGCAGAGCATGGTCAGACACTGAATACGATGAGTCAGGGCCATCTTGGGGAAATTCCCTTGGGTAAGATTCAAAAAAAAAGTTCAGGACGTTGGAAATAATTGCAACTCAAGGACAGCCCTCGTTCATTGCATTTTGTGGAAGAGAAGCCAGCATGGATGTCCTCTCTGGATGTGACACATCTCTACATGATTCCTACAAGTGGAATGTGAATGAAGAGCATTGATCACGTCCTTCAGGCTCCTTTTCCCCTCCGTCAAAATATTTCCTCTATTGCAAGATCTCCATCCTTGAAAACTTGAAGACTTGTGGATTTCAACTCCCAGATTTCCCCAGCCAGCCACGCAACTCCCAGAATTCCCTATGCTGCCTGGGAATTCTGGGAATTGAAAGCCACAAGTCTTCAAGTCACCAAGGCTGGAGTTCCCTACTCTACTGGAACCAATACAACTGGACTTCCTTTCACCTTCTTCTGACGATCAACCCATCAATTTTGCACAAAACAGACCGTGAAGGTTGGCAGAGGATAAGCGAGGGGCTTCCAGTCCCAGAGCTCCCTCTCCAATATATTTTTTCTGAGTGGAGATGCAAAGTAGCTTCTGTTCCTGGCCTACACTTTGATGAGTACAGGATTACGACCTCAGCTACGTTAAATGGGAAATAATGTGTTCTGAAACAGGAAAAGATAACAGATGGCCTGATCTGGAATTTCCTTCCTTCCTTCCTTCCTTCGTTTGAGCTGCTTAAGAAAAGAGTTTGTTAACGGTGGAAAGTACTTCTTGCACATCTAAAGACTGTATTGTTTGGATTCACCCGTCACGCTAAACCTTAAGTTTGCTTCAATAGGGGTTTGTCGCGAGGCACGCAGGCCAACTTCACACATGACACTAAAACCAAGTCAAATAAACCACACTGTGTTTTCCCATGCTGCGTGAGATGCTGAGCAATGTTGATGAATAACACCATATTTTATTGTTTGGAATCCTTGGTGCTCTCTGAGCTTGGTTGTTTTCTTGCAGACATTTCATGACTCAACTAGGGAACATCATCAGTACTAGAAGGGGGTTGAGCTTGTGAGGAGGAGGAGAAGGAGGAGGAGGAAAAGGAGGAGGAGAAGAAGGAGGAGGACTGTAGGGTTCTTGGTGCTCTCTGAGCTTCGTTGTTTTCTTGCAGACATTTCAATACCCAACTAGGGAACATCATCAGTGCTAGAAGGGAGAGGGGTCTGCTTTCTGTTTTTATACACAAGAGGCTTACCCTGTCAGTGTTGGTGTGGGTGGCCTTCATGGTTCCTTGATCAGGCTCTTTTTTTTTTCCTGTTAGCTTATCTGAGTCGGTAGCTCCCTCATTGGAGTGTCGTTTGTGGCTTGGTTGTTGGTCTAGTGTTAATCTGGATGTTAAATCTCTTTTTATCTGGGCGTTGGTTACTGGCCAGGAGGCGTTGTGATCTCTTGGTTCCTTTGGGGTTTTGTGATTGGTACGTAGATGGGTTTATCTCGACGGGTCTGTTGATGGCTGATTGGTAACAAAACGTCTGCAAGAAAACCACCAAGCTCAGAGAGCACCAAGGACCCCACAGCTCAACCTTGAGCTAGAAATATTCCCTTCTAACAGTACATTTCAATGTCTGTGGCAACCTGAACACACACACCCCACTGTGAGGAGAAGGGGACAGACGTTCACTCTGCTTGGCTGCTGGTTCAGAACTCCAACGGGTTAAGTCCAAACTCCTTTAGCGCGTTCTTATATTCAGTATGGATGAGGGCAGCCTCTTTGTCCCAGCCCAGCTTGGCGGCTTGTAGCTTGGAAAGCACCTGATCCAAGCTATCCTGTTCAAAGGAAGCGAGAACGGGAAGGTTGAGGGATTAGAGCGCTGAAACGGGATGGTGGGCCCTGTCTGCGTGTTCAAAGGGAAGAGATAAAGATCCGTGCTGGTTTATTTGCAGTTGGGTTACCTGAGAATTAACCCCTTCTGAAAATGTCTTGTGAGGTTTGGGAAAGCCAGAAGGGGTCAATTGGGGTCCAAGCAGACAGGATGCTGAGTGATGGAAGGAAAGATCTGAATGGCACTGAATGCTTTTTCCAGGCATAAAGGTTGAAAGGTTTCCTCTGCTTGATGAGAGGAAAAATGTTGCCCAATAATTTTGACTATCGTCACGCTCAACCTATCAACCAAAGAAGCACGTACACCCATAGAAGCACGTGTTGAGCATAGTTGAACACGAGCAATCGTGGGAATATTCATTCTCACTCTCTCTCTCTCTCTCTCTCTCTCTCTCTCCTGAAACTTTGGTAATAAGCAATGCTGAACCTCTGATATCCACCCCTGAGGTTCTTGGCTGGGGCCAGAATTGATGACCTTCCCATCGCTGACTCACGTGAAGGATTCGTTCCCATTCCTTCTCCATTTCCTCAGCCTTCTGCTGCATCTGAGCCTCAGCTCGCTCCTTCTCCTCCGAGATCTTGGCTCGCTCCTCTACGCTCCTCCGCAGGCTTTTTTGACAGGCAGCTGCCGAGGACAAATGAGATGGGTTGGGCATGGGTGGGGCGGGACAGAGATCGAGGCGAGAGAAAGAGGAAGAGAGCTGAGCCAATGGGTGGCTGGGGCATTCTGGGAGTTGAAGTCCAGACTTGTTAAAAGTTGCTTAAGGTTGAGAGGCGTTGCTCTAGCCCAAGGGTTGGCAATCTGCGGCTGTGGAGCCGCATGTGGCTCCTTCATCCTTCTGCTGGGGCTCCCTGTCCTCAGTTGGTTCCACAATTGATAAGGCTTTCAGTTAGGGCAGGTAGAGGAAAAAGGACACCGCACTAGGAGGAGAGTCTATGGTGGGGAAACAAGACTTCGGTGGGTTCCAGAATTGAACGATGGGTTTCCAGTTAGGACCTTTGTGGCTCTTTGACTGTTTAGTGTTGCCAACCCCTGCTCTAGTCAACTCCATCTATTTAGATGGTGTCCACACTGGGATCAAATGTTGGAGCAAGTTCTCAGGATATGACTGGCTGGGGAATTCTGGGCGTTGAAGCCCACACAACTTAAAGTTGTCAAGCTGAGAAACGCTGCCCTTGGGACTTCAGGATTTGGAGGTGAAGGTAACCCAAGACTGGGGACCTTCAGAAATTCTGCAGAGAACAATCATTTCCCTCATGTTGCTAAGAAGACTTGACAGGTAGAAATTAAATAATGTATGTACATAATTTTTTTTTTAAATGGCCTGGTGTATTTTTCAAATGGGGCAAAACCTGGACTTTATTCCTATGGATGTCATCCTAGTCTGATGCTCTCACCAATAATAATAATAATAATAATAATAATAATAATAATAATAATAATAATATAATAACAACAACAACAATTTTGAGAAAAAAAACACAAAGTATCGCGACTTACAAAATGAAGTTGAGCGAATTTAGAAAAAGAAATTGTATATAATCCCAACTGTAATTGGAGCCCTTGGAGCAACACCTAAAGGGCTACCTCGCTATTTGGAAATTCTGAATTTATCAGACTTGAATACCCTGATTTTACAAAAAAACACCCTACCTGGAACAGCTTATATCTTCTTATGCTACCTGAACAGTTCCTAGGTCCTTGGTTAGGATTTGAGCTGTTGAGCTACCAACCAGCCCCAAAGGCTGTGAATCTCACTAAAGATTAAATAATAATAATAATTAGGATGATGATGATGATGATATGATGATAGAGCGTCTATTAATCCAGGGGTCTCCAACTTTGGCAACTTTAAGCCTGGCAGACTTCCAGAATTCTGTAGCCAATAACTTTGAGCCAAGCTGGTTGGGGAATTCTGGGAGTTGAAGTCCCCCAGGCTTAAAGTTACCAAGGTTGGAGTCCCCCGGTTTAAAAGATGCAAGGAAGTAGATAGAACTGTTTTTTTTTTTAAATTTCCTCCCAGTCCTTAAACAGCGGCCTTGAATGGCCACAACCCATCTGAGTAACCTTCTGTCAGGCCAAACTTTTGGGTAAATACCCAGTTCTTCTTGCAGGTTCTGCTTTTCAGCTTCCAGGCGCTGAATCTGGCCGTCAGTCTGGCACTGGAGCTGCTGATACTGGCGGATCATCTCTGCAACGGAGCGAAGGAACAGAACTGGGGTCAGGGGGAAGATGAAAAACCCTTAGTTACCCATAGATGATTCCTAGATGCTACTTCTGTAGCTCCCAAGTGGGACTCTTGAGTGTACAGTAAGGTAAATGGGCAGGTCTTGGGGTGGGATTCAGCCGATTTGGACTGGTTTGGGCGAATCGGATGTTAAATTTACATCTGGTTCACTGAACCGTTAGTTGAACCGACCGGCTGGCCCCGAGAACATGAGATGGATGGACAGAATGGCGATTGATATCTATTGACAGAAATATAGCAGGGCATATAACTGAATACAACAAGTGTTTTTCAATCCCAGCAACTTTAAGATGGGTGGATTTCAACTCCCAGAATTGCTGGCTGGGGGATTCTGGGAGTTGAAGTTCCCCCATCTTAAAGCATGTTTCCTGGGTAATTCTGGGAGTTGAAGTCCAATCCTCTTAAAGCATGCTAACTAGGGGATTCTGGGAGTTGAAGTCCACCCACCTTAAAGATGCCACGGTTGAGAAACGCCACCCTAAACTAAAAGTTAAAGAGGGCACAAATGGAAAAGATGCACATAGACAGCTAGGCTGTGGAGAATGGGTTATGGCCCTCTTCCTAATAATGATCAAATCCCAGGTCTGTGCAACATTAAAGAATGTTAGTGATACTGAACAATGCCTTAGAAAGATCACTCTGAGACTCTGAAAAATGTTCCCAGATTCCTTGATATTGCTCTTAGGAGAGTTTTGCTAAACATTTTGACCTCAAGGGGATCCCCCAGAAGGGCGTCAGCAATCTGTGGCTCTGGAGCCACATGCAGCTCTTTGCTGTGGCTCCCTGTTGGGTGATCCCACCACTGGCTGACCCCGCCTCTC